GACACCGGGACGAGGGCACCGACAGAGTGTCACGTGTTAACGTTAGCACGGGGGAAGGCTGTGTTAGGGGGAAGACTGAGGCTGAGGAAAGATTAAAGGCATAATAGGCCCATCGATTATGCAACTTTAACGAATGCTAGAGTAACTGGCACCTTGTGTAGTTAATAAGTACATTACCTTATAGCCAAACGCGTATTAGTTTGTCCAATATCACTGCTGGTTACTAAGAAATGTCTAATTGAAATCCGTAGTCCACGAAATCAGTTGACTGACTTGTTTACAGTTTCGAAACCGCATACTTCGAAACGGGTGTGATACAGATTTATAGTCGACCGGACATTTTCGCACGCATGCAAAAACGCATGCACGCATGCATTTTCGCTCGGCCGTACGCAATGCTAACGATAGTACAGTACCGTCACTGTATACGTAACAGTAGCTCTGATTGTAATGAACGTGGATTCCCACGTACGAATCACGGACGCTCATGATAATGAAGTAGGCTGTGTTGAGGGCCAACGCTATGGGAGGATCGGGGACTAACCACGGCCACAGACTAAACATGGAAAGCAGAGGGCACTACGCGTATTTACGTATATTGGTCAAACGAATACACCTGTGTCTGAAATTGAAGACATGTGGGTACCGGTTCATTAGCACCCATGGTTATTTACTTGTGCCTCAATACCAAGAATACACCCAGAGATACATTCTACTAGCTCATTAGTTGTATATAAGCATCCCGGGACAAACAATTCTCTGCTAAACACCCATAGCAACATGTGACGTTGCCTAACCGAATTCGAGGCTATTTTGCCTGGCAACCAATTTAGCGTTGGCGCCAGATTACCAGATTTACGGATTTCAATTAGACATTTCTTAGTAATTAGCAGTGATATTGGACAAACTAATACGCGTAATGTACTTATTAACTACAGAAGGTGCCAGTTACTGTAGCATTCGTCAACTTTGTATAATCAATGGGCCTATTATGCCTTTAAGACACGGAAAGGATAGAGACTGACAGAAGACTGAGACCGAGGAAAGACCGAGACATAGGGGAGACTGAGACACAGTAAAGACTGAGACAGAGGGAAGACTGAGATGCAGGGAAGACTGAGAT